GCCCAGTGACCCGGCCTGCTCCTTAACAAAGCCTTGGAGAGAAACGCGCTTGTGTAACACGGAACGGCTAGCACTGCTCATCCATCTTTTCTAATTGAAGAGTCCACACTGGGAAGCAGTGGGGGACCTAGCAAACACTTTAAAATAAAGCATGCAAGGAACTGTTTCAGCAACCTTTCCCCCCTTCCGCCTCCTCTTCCCCTCATCCAAAAAACTTTCATAGTAATTAAGTCTTATAATGTCTGCTCTACTCTGGGCATCGGTAGCTCTCAGTAAAGCAACGAATATGTGATCTAGCATGGGAAAGCTGAGTATTTGTAATTGTGAAGTGCACAGGATAAAAAAGAAACATTTTTGCCAGAACATTTAATGCTTGCTGATTTGATTTCCAAAGATGTATCCTCTGAGATTTTTTTTGCTCCTTTTTTGTGGGGAAGAGGAAATATTTATACACACTAAAGTCACTGCCTGTGGCCAAGTCTGGGCTGAAGACCAACCACAACAAATAGTTACAGGGGAGAGGAGTCTTAGACCATGACCCAGATTTATGAAAATGACAGAGAGCCTTTTCTGGGGGAGATTCAACTCCTGAGCTGAGAACGTCTTCAGTCAGAGCCTCTGAAACCCATCTGATGTGAAGTGACACTAGCACCCTACTCGTGATTTAGGCTATCAGCCCATGGTGACGTATGCCAGTCCGGCTCATTTGTACATCTTCCACGAGACCTAAGCATCTTCTTGGTCCTCCCATCACCAATCTGACCACAGCAAGACTTTTGAATAAAAAACCCCCCCACCACCCCCCCCAGCCACTCCAATGATTAACAGATCTTCTCGCATTTTTATAATCCTGCAAGATAATACGAGATATTTCTCCAGTGCCATGGCAGATTCCGCAGAATCCCCACTAACCTCTGAGTCCCCGGAGGAGTGGCAGGACCTGACCTCATCTCACGACCTTCAGTGCTCAAGCTCACACAATGAAGATGACTAATTTAGATGAACAGGCATCCAGGCACTAAAACTTCATCTCTTGCACAGGTCAAACAGCTATAAAGCGAGCTGCGCGCTTTGTAACCTTCTAGATTTAATTAGTAACTCCAGTTTAGCAAGGACACCCCACATTGTGACACCACCTGCGTCATTAGGTGCAGACGTAACAAGCACCCTTCCTGCCACACAGATTTTTTTTTTTTGCCTGTTAATGGATTTTAAAAATAAAGTGTCCACAGGTTCCTCTTGACAACAAAAGCTTAATTCTGTCCCTCGTGCTCACCCTGTCGTATCCAGGAGACGAAGGGGGTGGGATCGGCAGCCGCCATGCACTCCATCACCACGCTCTCCCCGGCCACCACCGTGGTGTTCTCCGGAGCGGCGACGATGGTGACATCTCCTCCCGCTGGCTGGGAACCTAATGTCAAAAACAGAAAGCAAAGTCTGTCCTTCCAAGTCACAAAGTCCCTAGAAAAACACAAAACGCAGAGCCCAGACACCTTGGCCGTGCTTCCCCAGGCAGCCTGACGTGTGGCAACAGCTCACGCCCAGTCGGAGGAGAAAAGCAGGTCTTGGTTTTACATGACCGCAGTATTTTTGCTACAGAAATGAACCAAGGGGTGCCCTGCAGATTTACTCTAATCACTCTGGTCCTAGTAAAAATCAGTATCAGGATTTTCACATGGAAATTAAGTAGTTTCAAAGCAGCACCTTCCTCAACTGTTGCTAAATGGATGTTTGCTAATTAGATGAAACCAGACACCTCAAACAGAGCAGCAGCAACACAACACACCCTCTGCCACGGCATTGTAACAGCTCAGAAAGAATCCAGCAACTCGGTTAAAGAAATTCTAGCATCCAGGCACTTTCCTGTAAACTGCAAGAAAGAGAGGTCAAGCCTCTGTGCCCAGGCCTTCACCTGAAGGCACAAAGACTCAGTCGGCCATGACACCTCTGGAGCAGAGGGTGCTATTCAGCTGATACGTGCACAAGACAAACAGCCAACACGTAAATCAAGGATCGTTTACAGGAAGATCTACAGGCTGCATTGCACAACGTCTTGAGAACAGGACGGGGATTTTGGGCTTGAAATGAACCTTCTGCCTGCATCTGCCCACTGCTGAGCAGAGGTTGAGGGAAGGTTAAGGAAATGCCCTCGCAGCGGCCAAATTTCTGTTGTCAGATGAAAACAACTGGAGCACTCTTGAGCCGACCAGACTGTTCAAATACCTCGACAGTAGCAACCCTGTTCATCCAGGTCTTCCAAACATGTCTAACTCTGAGGGACACTTGTTGTTGTCCTCATGAAGACAGAATCACAGAATGTTCGGGGTTGGAAGGGACCTCTGTGGGTCATCTAGTCCAACCCCCCTGCC